TAACTTTGAAGTGATTTTTATTACTCAGATCCGCGATCACCGCAGTAACTGCTATTTTCTTTACTTTTTCTCTGTGAATATTTCCCGCATTTGTGGCAAAATGCACAGCGATGAGGAAACAATCTCTTGATTTCGGAGCAATCAGCACCACGCGGAGTTCCTGAAAAACACTTTTTATCATTTTAAAAAGAAGATTAAAGATTGAAGCTGCAAAAAAAGAACAACTTGCGGGATGATAAATCGTAAAAGAAAAATAAAACGAAGCAATGCAGCTTTAAAACGTCAGGCTGGAAAAAGCTCATTCTACCGGAACAGAGCTTGACGAAAGAGCTTGTTCTACCGAAACAGAGCTTGTTTTTTTTTAGCGGTTCGTCACCACCACTTATGAAAGCTTAACTTTTATAGTGGCGAAACGGCAGAAATTTTACCGCCTAGCCCTCCACCTTAAGAGGTTATTTGCGGCAAATAACTGCTAAGATATCTGTCAAATATCGTTCAGTTCTGCCGTCCGGAAGTGAAATATGATAGGTCATATTCAATCAGGCGAGAGGGTAGGATAATGCAATTGAACAACTAATGCATTCATGCTCGAAACATATGCATAAGCGAAAGTTCATTTTACTCTCGCAGGCACGCACATGAACAGAAAGCATTCTTTGAAAAATGAAGCTTTCTGCTCAATCTGATTATCGGGTTAATTGGGCGCCAGCACTGACCCAAACTAAACTTTTATTTGCACGCAAGCGAAATTTGGTAGTGTTTTATACCTGAAATTAAAACAGCTAAGTCGCACATGGGCACAGAATAACCTTGCGATAATTTTTTGGCTTCCTAATTCAAAAGAAAATTCCTAAAATTTCAAAAGAAAATTCCTAAAGCTTACTTAGTTCCCGGGCCATCGATTTCCAGCCAAAATTTTCACGCGCCCGTAAGTGAGTAATCAGATATGCGTGAAGGTTGACATCATCTCCCAGGGTGGATACGGGTAAAATTTCAGCTCCTAAGCCTACTTGATTATCGAGATGAAATATTATCTGGATAAACAGAGACACACACACAGCCGGTATAGCCCGAAAGCTCACCGCTGCTACCCTGAATAAGGCTTGTAGCTACTGCTGCAAGAGAGGAAACTCACTGTTGTTGCCCATAAGCTTGTGGCTACTACCTCGGGAAAGGAAGGCTTCCAGCCCTGGTCCAAAGAGAGGGTTGTGGTTTGCTATCCGTCAAGAGGCGATCTGAGCAACGGAACGAGAAAGAGTTGGGCCCCGGTGAGTAGCCAAGTGCGAAATATGAAATCCAAAGGAATATGAAACGAGTGCTTTGAGGATCCGAAAACTGGCCGTTACGAGACAGGCAGGGGAGCTGGGATAGGTGGATTTAGTGGCTGCTTAGCATAGATCCTTTATCGGCTGACTAAGTCACGTGCATTTACAGGGCAAAGGAGAGGAGGGTGATTGGTGGAAAGGAGGGGAAAGTGGTGTGCTGCTGGTTTTTGTCGCGGATATCCGAGGTAGGGGGAGGGCTGAAATATTGCTTGCTTCCAGAGTGCACTTATTGTGGATATGAAGAAGAGCTCAGATGTTACTTTGCATACAGGACGGGATAGAGAAGGGGAACAAGAATATCTACCAAAATATAATAAGGATATTATCTATCCTGGAAAAAACTGTATGAGCCAAACAATATCCGCAGCAATCTCTATGCACCTTAGAAGAGTAATAGTTGCGTAGCTCAGTGTTGAAGGTGTAACAGATCAGCTGGCAAAACAATTCACCTCAAGCAAAACAATCCGTCATTACACACTACTCCCTCCTCCCGCACTCCCCAGGTCTCCCTCTCTCATGTTTCATCTCAGTTCAGATTTGTTCAGCCGCTCAATTCGCAATCAAATATACTCAGTGCTGCTGGAAGATGACAGTCAAGCCACTCTATCCAGTTTGTCCTCCTCCCCTTGAGTTCGAGATTTGCGAGTGGTGGAGCACATGTTTGCGATCTCCTCCTAACAGGCTTCTTATCCCAAGCCGAGCTTCGATCCTCACCGAATATTTGTCCTCACACAGCAAACTGCATTTTCCTCGCAAGCCTTACTTTGTTTACGTGTTATTTCAGTTGTTTGTTTTCGTGTTAATTTGTAGTACATTGCTTGAAAATGTAAAATTACACAACTTTAGGTTATACTACGTTTCATAATCTTTACTACCACTTATCAAAAGTTTATCGTTACTTTATGAATATTTATACTCCATCGCAATTTATCCTAATAATCTAAGAATATGCTATCCTCACTGCCAATACAATTAGCATTTTGCATCTTTTTCGATTTATTCGTTTATGAGTAAAGTGAATTACGTTGAAGTTTTATTAGCAAAAACTGATTTTAAAAATAGATTTATATTTTCGCTCTAAACCAGTTGCTGGAATATACAATAGACTACCAATTCCCTCTCTATCTCCTATTCGCCGATTACGGAGAGCATTCGATAGTGTAGAGCTGGATGCTGTGCTTTGAGTTCTTGTGGACGGAGAGTTGATTCGAACTGTGTAGAAACCGTTAATAGTGAACAAAAACTGTTCGACAGACATAACACTTTTTCCCACTCCAATTCTTATACCGGTTTAGAAAAATGTGAGGCAGGGATCACCAAATGATCCCAAATCGTTCAAGTTTCTCAAACATAGAAGATACCATTGTATAGAACAGCGCTTAACTTCTCTCGTTTTGCTTTTCTCCTCCTTATCCTTTTCGTTTCAGTCGGGTGTACTGCCTGGAGTGACCAGCTTTTGTCAAAAGCTGTTTTTCTGTTTCTTAAAAAGATAGTACTTCACTTCCCTTCGACAGAAATGCGGTCTTTAAAAAAATGACAGCCTTCCCCTATTTTTCCCTCAGTCCTTTCTCAAATCGTACACTTTTTTTCGTGTTGTCAAGTGAATGCTGCTCTATGTAAATAAGTGTTACCGCAAGACGGAAATTGTACTGCTCCTTGATTGATCTCATAGGAAATGGTGCATTCAGATGTGGAGACAGTTGTATTATATCAACTGAAAAACAGATCAAAACGACTAAACCGGGTTCCTCATAAACGCAAACGGCTCCAAGTAATACTGGTGAAGGTTGCACTGAAAACTAAAATACCTCTTTCTAGCAACGTATCACTGGGTATGCCTGATGTAAGAAACGCGGCTGA